TTTTCCTCACTCCCAGTCATTTCCATTTTCCTATTCCATGTATTCCTCATTCACGGGCTTGACATAACGGTTCGTTGAATATCTGAAAGTCGCATAAACTGCTGCTAACTTGTCAGTGCCACATAAACCCCTGTCCGTGAGTGCCGTCCTGGGTGAGCTTCATGGTCGAGTGGAGATAATAAAAATAGATGATGTATTTTCGTGGGGCGGCTGTGGTTTCATACACCTATGGTATCTTCCATCCATCGGGCGCATCATTTGGGCTTTAAGCTCGTGTTCGTCATATCCGCCTGCTCAATTCGTGCATGGAAATTATCCACTCGGGAAGCGCCATGTTGCTACCTATGGCAGTTCCAACCGGCTGCAACGTATAGGCGGCAGTTCTATCACCTGTCAAGGTATTCCCAATTACAAGGTACCGGAGGGCTTGAGTCCTGTTTTAGCTCGGATGTGGACATGCCCACTTGTAGTTCATTTTTCCTGCCTGTTTTGATAATCATCAAAGTTGCGCAGCAACATGGAAATGTTCTGTTGTTCTGTCAGCTCGATTCAACTAATATGATACTTCGGTTCTGTCAGCAGCATGGAAGTATGCTGACAACTGGAGTGTTTCATATAATTCAGTTCTGTTCTCGAAGTGCTATGCTCGGTTCACTGCACTGTTCACAAATGTTACATCAAGCTGGCGTCCCGGCACAAACTGTATTAGGCTACTCAATTGGCCGCGGCCGCGTCACCGAGCCCCCCCCCCCCGGCGATCAGTGATCACGTGACCAGACCGCTGCTCCGTTCACCGGCACCCCTTACATCTCAGCAAGAACCCCGCAACACAAATACGAAATATTGGAATGGGTGCAGGCCTCTGACTCTAACGATTTCTCTTTTGCAACACTGGGTCATATCATACACTGGGTGAATGTCAATCAAGGATGTGAATAATGCAACGGCAGCTAATACGGATCATATTCATAATGGTTTGGATATTTAAGGCGCTTAAACTGTGTCATATATCTTGCTGTGATGGATACTTTTGTCTAATTTTGTGAATAATGACAATTGATTTTTAAATATAATTAATTTTTTCTCCAACCGGCCGCGTTTTGAAGAATATTCAGTTGTCTAGCATTCCTTTCTTGTTCCCGTCATTGAAAGCAGGGTTTCAATAGGATGCATTTAGCATCTTTTGAAACACGATTCGTTTTCCATCCATTCAATCCGTGTGGCTTGAAATTCCAAATTCCAATCCGGTCTCAATCCGGATGTTTCCTAAATTTTCTGGTCCGGTCCGGTCTAATACACCTGGCGAATCCATCTTCTATCCATGTAATTTATCCAATCTGTTAACTGTTCTATTGGGCACGCATGAGCTGGCAAAACGAACCATGCAACTCTAAAGGAGGCATATCGTTTGACCACACACTTGACACTCTTGCCCACACACTATCGCTCGACCCCCACCGACATGTTATGAAGGAACGCAGCTATGAACGATATGTAAAACCACACGGCCATGAAGGAAGACACACAGAGTAGCTGTTACGTACATAAAAGCGTTTATCCTCCAGGATCGCAGGTGGTTTTCACATGCGCCTCCTTGGTCCTCACAAATCACTGGCAGATTGCGCGCCTGAGCCGTCCGGCGGCTCGGGCGGAGCGGCCGGACCTCCTCCGACGATACGTGTCGACACGGTCCGGCCGTGTCCGACACGGTCACTGACACGGGCTCTCCCACACCGTCTGAACGGCAACGAGACGGGCCGGAGCCGACCGCGGCTCCGTGCGTCGGGTCACGTCCGCTAGCGGACGTCGGTAGCGGCGTGCGGCAGCCGGTAGAACTTCATGCCGGCCAGCGCCTCGGGCGACAGGAAGTCCGTTGGGTCCAGGTAGGCCGGCGGGCAGCGGGCGGCGTGGCGGCTGAGGCTCGTCCTCGGCCGGCCCGAACTCGCCGGCCACCATCCGGCTCGGGCGCGTCCAGACCAGCGCCGGCCAGCGCGGCCGGCTCACGCAGCCTGTCGCTCCGCCGGCATCTCGCTGCCCCGCCGCTTCCACCGCACCAGACGCCGGACGCCGGCGTAGGCCCACAGGCCGACCAGCAGCAGCGGCCAGGCGAACACGAACAGCACCAGGCCTGCAGCACGCCTGGTAGGGCCCACGTCAGCACGCCGCAGCGCCAGCAGCCACGCGTGCACAACGAACTCGACGAACGGCCCGGAGTATGATGGAAGCCTGCACAGCGACGCAGTGCAGGAACGCGAATCCTAAGGAGACCATGCCTGCGCCGGGAGGGGCGTAGTCGACGACCACCGGAGCACGTCACCGGGGTGGTCCGCCTGCTCACCGTCCGCCCATGGCTGGGGCGCGGTGACCAGGTCACTAGGACGACCGGCCGTGGCGGCCGACGGGCGCGGCGCTGCGCCGGGACGACGTCGCCTGCTCGTGCACCAGACGTTTCACCGACCGGCGCCGACCCCCCCGCCTGCCGCACTCGACAGCCAGTGCCGGCGGGCGGCCGCTGCTCTTCGGGTCGCGTGAAGATGGCCGGGCACGATCTCCCAATCACAGCCCGCGGCGCACCGGGCCAGCGGCCGCGCCTCCACCTACGGCCGGCGTGCGGATAGCGTGGGGCCACGTGACCACAACGCGGGTTCAAAGGTCACGGCGGCCGCGCACTTCGCCGGCCGCCAGCGGGTCGGAGTGTTTACCTCCGGGGCGATGCAGCTGTGGGTCGGCGGTGACCTTGGCAGCGGTCGTCAGCTGGCCTGACGTCACAGACAACGACTGACACGGCGTAGGTTGAATGAATCGGCAACGAAGCCTTGAGGTCCCCAGCACAGTTCATATGCTGACCAGCGAGGCACAACATTGAGCCTTGTTACCCAGAGCGTGAGTTATATTCATAAAAGTGACGTCATGGTTTAGAAAACGGGTTTTTTGATGTAGAAAACAGTTCTTCTCGGCCCATTTATTCCTCTAGCTCAATTATGGGGGCCTCCATGATCTGAATTTTTGTTAGTTTGTTGTCTACGGGGAGCTGTAATGCCTGAAAGTGTCGGGAGAAAAGGGGCTTCCTGACAATTTGGAGGGGCGGAAACATACTTTTGGCTGCTCCCCCCTGCAGCGGTGTTCCTGGCGGTGGCACGTAGTTTTGGTTGTGGGGGATGAGGGTGGGTTTAGCCATCGGTGCTGTTTGCTCCGGAGCTTATCACTTGATGCTCATTCCCAAATTTTGGGTACATTATGTCATAACATTTGCCAACTTCACTGCTTTGCTTGTACCCTCAGCTGTTACGGTTTTAGCTGCCGTTGGGAGCAAACGCGATTCTTAAATCGGTGGGGTGACGTAGTGTTCGTAGGCGCACTGCTATTGGCGACAAACATTTGCTTCTATGGGTCGGTCCAAATCACGTTACGATAGACGGTAAGCTGGAGAAGTTTCAAACGATGCAGAAGTTAGACAGGCATGCTGCATTGTCACAACAGTTGTACCAGATTCTCAAGTAGAGGAACGAGTAGAGTACGGCAATTTTCGGAATAGGGCTGTGATAATAAAAACGCCTACAGAGCTGAATATGGGTCGGTGATTTGAAAATGTTTAAGCAGACGTGAAATCGCCCTCCGGAAGTCGGTAGCAAGGACATTCAGCATCTCTAGGTACCCCGGGTCATCAGCTCAGTTTAACCGTGTTTGCGTTCCACGCCTCGATTTTGCACCACCTTGTTTGGGAAAGGCTTTTTGATCACGACGTTCCAAGGAAGTAGACCTTTTGATGAACAACTAGCATACAGACGGGATTATAATTGGAAGCGTTGTGGAGCACATTTGACGGACTGAACGTGCCCGCAGTTTTGGACATAACTTGAGCACTTGCCGCTGTCGCTGTCACTGATGGTATTTGCGGGGGAAGTTGACCAATGTGATTTTGCATTCCGAAACAATCTTGGAACTGAGCATTTCCATGTTAGCATGGATGGAGGGAAGGATGGAGGGAGCATAACCAAAGTGCTAGACAGCGTAACGCCACGCTCAAGTGTGGTTACGAATTACCCTAAATCCTTTAAATGCTTTGACGCGTCGTTGTCCCATGTCGTTGGATTCCTGTCATAACAAGAAACACACACGTATTTGTTTCACGCCTTTTAGCTGGGTAAGGGGGCCAGACGGACGTCATGCTTAGGTAGCCCAGCGTTAGATAACCCAGCGTAACCAGTGCGGAATGGTGGGGCTGAAACGGCCACAAATGCAGCTCGTTGTTGTAGGACTGCCCGTTAAGTTTACTTAAGACTAGTGAAATGATTAGATGTACACTGGTTCTGTATGCCTGAGATCGAGAGACATCTTCTGTGTGCATACATTACATATCACCACACATGGGCGTACCATGTGTATGACATGGCTCCGCATGGGCTTCAGTGTTCTCGTGCCGGCACACTGCGTATCTCAGATCCAGATGCGTGTCCACGCAGCTCCCAGGCAGTGGGCAGCGCTCTCCTCCGCGTTTGCTCCGTGCCTGCCTCAGGTGAAGATGTGTGCAACGTGGCTTTCGGCGACGCTAGCGCGCTATCACTGGCTCCCTCCCCGCCCCAGATCAAGATGTTCTTCGAGGAGCACCTGCACGCCGACGAGGAGATCCGCCTGGTGCTGGAAGGCTCGGGCTACTTCGACGTGCGGGACCGGCACGACCGCTGGGTGCGCGTGCTGGTGGAGCGGGGTGACCTGCGTGTGCTACCGGCCGGTATCTACCACCGCTTCACCTGCGACGACAAGGTGGGCATGCTGGTGGAGCGGGTGACCGGCTGGTTGCTGCCGGCCGGCATCTACCACCGCTTCACCTGCGACGACAAGGTGGCATGCTGGTGGAGCGGGGCGACCCTGCTGGTGCTGCCCTGCCGGCATCTACCACCGCTTCACCTGCGACGACAAGGTGGGCGTGCTGGTGGAGCGGGGTGACCTGCTGGTGCTGCCTGTCGGCATCTACCACCGCTTCACCTGCGACGACAAGGTGGGCGTGCTGGTGGAGCGGGGTGACCTGCTGGTGCTGCCTGTCGGCATCTACCACCGCTTCAGCCCTGCGACGACAAGGTGGGCGTGCTGTAGGCGCCTCATCTGGATGTAATTTCCACTTCTGTCCGCTCTTTGTACCGCTAAAACCAGCATAAGCTGGCGGAAGCTTAGAGTGCCATAGTTGCATCTTTATCAAGTATAGCATGTCATTGTTGTCACCGCTGTCCTAGCCAAGTGTGAGGAAAACGAAGTAATTCAACGGAATGGTTAATTGCGTAAAAGTACAGGCATGACGAAGGAATGGTAGCTCAAAATGATAGCGCCTTAATTTAGGTGAATTAGAAATGTTTCTCAAGTAAAGGGAATTGGTGAAATGAAATATGTAATGTCAGGCCCTGCTGACTGCGAATTGGTCAGTTTTGGGAACTCTGTGCTTGTGCCTTTGTTACCTGAGTATTTTCTGTTCTATTATGTGCTGCACACCTTTAATGCCATTACTCATATGTATTTTTGAGTTGGGTCTAGTGGTTACCATCGTTTGAATGTTTAGACATTCAATGAGCTTAAACGTTTTGCAGAGAACAGTAATTTGCGTTATTCTCTCACGATGTCGTATCGAGAAGTTAAAAGGAACAGCTGCATTTTAGCTCCCTAATCTTAAAAACGTGCTGTTTAACCCTGTTTAAATTGCCTAGACAGGTCCCGCCACGAACTAACGGGTCCTGCAGATACTAAAACGCCCGACAGCAGGTATGGTGAATGGGAATATTTTCTGGTGATCGAGGCGATAACAGATGTGAGAGCCATCCCTTGTTACCATGAAGATAATGCCAGAACCCAAGCCAACTAAGGTGAGCTGGCTAAGTGACTGAAACGCTCTCCGCAGCCAAGTTTATCGGTTTGCGAACATGTGGGAAGGTGCGACTTTTGTGGCAATTTAAGTTGCGGAGTCCCACTTGCGTACGAAATACATTGAAATTATACCTTGAAAACAGAATGGTTGGCCATGTATCTGCTCTGCAGTGGCACAGGCAGGGGGGGGGGCACAGGAGCACGTCCTCCCCCCCCCCCCTCCTGTTAGGTTCCAAGGGGCCCGAATGATCCTTGAGACCGACTTTTAAGGGTCCAAATGCCAGCCGGAGATCGTATGCAGGAGCCCTGGCCAGCAGGGCCTTGCACCCTAATACCAGCCCGAGGGCCGTTTTCGCCGACCGGGATCTCCTGAGTCGATAAGGGCTTATATGCCGATCAGACGCTACCACACAGTCGGCTCCAGCCCGAGGGGCCTAGTTCCCAAGCAGGGAAAAAATCCAACCAGCGTCTGTCAAGCCCACAGTGCCTAACAGGGCGCCCCATGTTGGCAAGGGGCCCCGATTCGGTCAGAGGCAGTGTTCGAGGACGCCCGAATAGAACCTGGAGAGAGGGTGCCGGTAGTGTAGTGGTAAACGCGTCTGCGTTAACCACTGCGCGTCTGGGAAACCAGAGGCACGGGGTTCGATTCCACGCGGTGACCGCCCTTCCTTCCAAGGTGAGAGGCAGGCGACGCCATATAGCCTCAGCAGCTGAGTGCGTCATAAAGCCCCAATGACAGAACCTGGAGAGCCCATCGGGACCGACAATCAAGGACCAGTTGGAGGACCGAAGGGCACGCATGGCTGGCAGGCGTCTTCTTTAGGGATCCCGGCCTGCGGACAGGCCCTCAGATGACAACCAGAGGGCCCTTTGCCCCGGTTAGGGACCGCCCGAGTCGATATGGGCCCATATGTGGGTCAGACACCACCAGAACCACTCAGTCGGCTCCGCGTCGATATGGGCCATTTCATGGGGGTCCACTTCCCGGGGGTCCATTTCCCAAGCACCAGCAAGGCGGGGCCCGCGATTTGCATTGGCCCGAGTGCCTGAAACAATGAGGGCATCGGCCAGGGGCCCGCAGCGCTTAGCAAGGGGTCCGGTGTCAGCAAGTGGCACCGAGTCGTCGCCAGGAAGTTGCGTTGGTCGAGCCCTCTGATAACGAAAGGAATCGGGAACGTATGATGTGAGTTCACGTTGAGACAATGGAAGGACCCTGTGCCTGTCAGGAGCCTCAGTAGCGATCTGTGTGCCCGCCAGCAAAAGGGCCGTCAAGGCGAACTGAAGTTAATGTGTCAATTATTAAGTCACCTGTTGCGATCAGGGGTCTTGCTACGTCGGTGAAGATTCCTGCGTCGATCCGGGGCAACCGCGCGAGTCAGAAGGCCTATCGTGTCAAGGAGGAGTTCAATGTGATACGATAGACCCTTCTACGGGCCTCCGGACCGGTGAGGGGACATCGCCCCTGTGTCACCAGAATGGGGGCTAGAAAGCACCCCGCGCTGGGACGGAGATGGCCCTTCAGCCTTGACCGGGGACGATAACAGGCCCCCTTATGTTCTTCTCAATGGGCGCCCTCGTCTGAAAACGTAACGGGCTTAAAGTGTTGAAGATGGGTCGAGATGAGTCCAAAAATGGAAAGGCCAATACATGTTGGCCTGAGAACGTGCATTCTTTTGTGGAATTAACTAGTGAAACGAACTACAATCGACAAGTTTGAGCCCGCGCGCTTGCAATCTTTGAGCAGGAACAGCGACGGCCGGGGTTACCGGTTCCCGTAAAACCGAACGACGTTGGCCACTGCGAGTGACATCAGGCGGCGGGCGCTGTGCGCGCGAGAGGCGACCGCCGTAAAATCATGCTTCCGAGAGTTTGGTTTCAAATAACTACGTACCGTTTACGGTTTGGACTTGATCGTACCAGCGGGCACCTCCTTTCGAATTTTGAGATTGTCCTCTGGATGTGTACAGCACACTAAAAATAGAGGTTCTACCTGCACTGCTCCAGTTCCACCACCAGATTTTCGTCCGCCCGTTATCCGCCACCAGTGTTAGCCAAGGGGCGACGCCGAGCAGCTCATGGAGACTGTACCTAGGGCTTCGAGGTTTTTGTTGTTAAGATTTTCGAGCGTGCATGTTTTACACTGCGTTACATCATGTTTCTCACGAATCGATTCTGACTAAATGTTGACTTTTTCAGGCAAACATGGGTTGGTCTCATTAATGCAAGTATTGACCCATTTTTGTCCACAATTTACATTCACAAGGTCCTCAGTATCTCTCTGTAGGACCCAGATCGAAATTCTGGTAAAACTTGTGAGTTCTTATCGGTTAGGAAGAGTCGAGTGAACCATTGCTTAAATGAAGAACGCCGGTGATTTATTCCATGTAGTTGTCTGACGCCCTGATTCTTCAACATTTTTCCTTTTACTTCAAAATGCAGACACATGTTATCTCGCCAGAGCTTTTTGCTTCTATTCCAGTTGTATAAGGAAACGTAGTAAACAACAAAGAATACCATGCCCCTCTTTAAGAATTGGGTCATATCAGGCAGCTGTTTAGGGGGAAGGCGCCTTCCACCGTCAGGGGACCCTCTCTCAACCTCGTGCGCCTCACATTGCCAAGGCTCTGGCTGCGACCCTGCTGCTCTGCCTTGATTATGTCAGTCAAGAAATGGATGCATTTGTAATTATTTACCGTTTTGGTAGTCATGACCGACGTTTAACTCAAAGCGGTCGGTGTTTTGACTCGATAGTGGTCACAATAAATAAGTCCGTGAAGCTGGGTATTTTGCATGCCCGAGCGTCCGCTGGGCAGGCTACAGTATCTCGTTACGGAGAGCGGCTTCGGAAACGCGGCATGCCTCCAATCATCAGGGCTCCTATGGGTCGGACAGTTTTGAGATTCGATACTGATTTGTAATCAGCATGTTCACGTGCATCGTTTAGGTCTTCGGTATCTCTGGCGCGAGGGAGCCGGGCCGTGACGTAGACGAGGTCTGGGGCCCGGTTTGCATTCGTGTAACTGAAGAATTAAAAATGTTACCTTTGCAGTGCTTATTGGATAGGGACGCGAAATCAAGGTAGTAGTGCAATGTTGAAGTTTTTCTCCCCACGTGTGAGGGCTCAAAAGATATTGCACAATTTTGTATGAAGCCGTGATCCTTGTTGCTGAAAATTGCGTAAATCTGCGATTAGTGGCTGGAAATATTGCCGGCTTCTAGAAAGTGGGAAAGCGGGCAATATGGGCTGAGCCACTGAATCTCGAACTTTGTTCACAGTTCAACAGCTGACCCCACTCGTCAAAACATGTTTTTACACCATCACCGAACATCGTGTTCAAATGTGGGTAGTGATGCGTTTGGAATGGATGCTACATTCCAGGTACCATATATACATTGCCCGGAAATCTAAGACTGGTTGTGAAAGGCAGCCTTTTCGGATGGAGAAAATGCCGGCCATTAAAGTGGTATGAAGCGGGCGTTTTCGCATTATTCTTCTCCCAAATTTGGGGATTTTCTTCAACCTGGTGTCGGTGTGGAAGCAGAGTATTTTCTTGAAAGTGTGACACACGGAATCCAATGTCAAACTGAAGCGTGTAACAGAAAGTGTCGAATGGTTAATTTTCAGGTGAAAGGAATAGTTAGTTCTTCAAAAGCTATGATCCGTGTGAGAAATTTAGACGTACTAATTAACTGGGTCGGCAAATGCTGTTTTTTTTTTTGGGGGGGGGGGTGAAAAAGACGAAATGGGCGAAAGCCTTTGGTAAAAAACGTGAAATGAGTATGGAATAAATATTAAAAATTATTCTTAGAGAATTAAGATCCAATAATGAAATGAGAAATTGAAAATTTGAAATAACAATTAAAATCCGACAAAAGACGCGAAACGATACGTGAGGCGGCCTCTTTGTTTCTTTTTAGTTCTAGACGCTCTTGCACGGCGCAGTTTCTTTTTTATCTCCAGACGGTCCCGTACGACGCATTTTCCTGTTTATCTCCAGACGATCTCGCACGGTGCAGTTTCTTTTTTATCTCCAGTCGGTCCCGTACGGCGCATTCTCTTGTTTATCTCCAGACGATCTCGCACGGCGCAGTTTCTTTTTTTATCTCCAGACGGTCCCGTACGGCCGCAGTTGCTTTTTGATCTCCAGACGGTCCCGTACGACACATTTTCTTGTTTATCTCCAGACGATCTCGCACCGTGCAGTTTTCTTTTTTATCTCCAGTCGGTCCCGTACGGCGCATTCTCTTGTTTATCTCCAGACGATCTCGCACGGCGCAGTTTCTTTTTTATCTCCAGACGGTTCCGTACGGCGTAGTTGCTTTTTTATTCTCCAGACGGTCCCGCGTGGCGCCGCGTCGGCATCCGTACCCAAACCCCAGAGGCGTGGCCGGGCTGGGACCGCACCGATGACTGACCTTCAGCGCCCCGGCCCTTTTCCAGGATTACATCAAAGCGTGCCCGCCTGTTCTGCGGCGTGCCGGTGTGGAAGGCGCACAACCGCAGCCCGGAGACGGAGGCCATGCCGGAGCGCGGCTCGTACGTGCAGCAGCTGCACGGCACCGCCTGAGCCAGCCCGGGCCGGCCCGAGCGACGGCCGCCGCCGTCGTCTGCCCAGCGGCACCACGCGCTCCGGCCGAGGCGGCCGCGGCTCGGAGCCTACAACAGCTGTCTCATCAACATGCATTGATTTATGTACGCCCTGTAATCTGTCGAGACGGTAATGTGCATGCGTCGTAACTTGGGTAAAGGGGACTAAATTTGGAGCGGGGCTGCGGTTGCGAAGCTGTCGAGTAGTCAGCAGTGCTGTCGTGTTTGCTGGCCGTGTCTGCGCGACAACCAGCACGTGTCTAGGCCCGACCGGTATCTTGCAGACACGGTGGTAGCTGGTCGTTGGAGCCATCCTGCCGCCCTCGTTAATATGACGAGGTGGTGAGAACGGCGAAAAGCGAAAGGGAATTAACAGGGTGGGGCGACAGGGGTGAAAGCCCGCCTCAGTATATGTGAGTGCCTTGTGGACGCTTTTTACGTTGTATGATCCACTCCGATGGCGTCTGCCGCTGCGGAAGTGTGGGTCTAGAACCAAGGCCGGCTTATTGTGCGTCGCTCCTCATGTATCCATGGGTGTGTCATTTGGGAAATAGCATATTTTCTAACGGGAACAGTCTGTGGTGCGAACAGTCTGTGTGATTTGTTCTCTGAAACCGCAAGCGCTCCCAGGTCATTGGTCTCCCGGGGCTTTCGGGAGGACCCCGGAGACGGCAAATTGCTCAAGGCTGGTGAGGTTTCCGAGACGGTCCGAGGCCCTGCCCCGTCTTCCAGCTTATCGCCGAGATAGCCGTGTCCACAGTGCGACCCTGTCAGCTTATAAAGCAAGGTGACAATTCTCTTTCGGTTTGCGGTAGTGCAGTTCGTGTTGATTGTTTTCAAATAAGACAGTTTTTTGTCATTCTTTAAACACTGCACGCAATTTTACATGTTAAAGCGAGCAATGAATTGCACGCATTTCAGCCTGTTTTCCCACCAATGCCCCTGTTTTACCAACGTTTGCTACCAAGATTGGTAGAGACGTAACCTCAATTCACCGTCCAAATAGGACGTACAATATGCCGATATGCTGTTCAGTGATGTCTTTGACCAGGCATGCTTTGCCACACCAACTTCAGAGCCTCAACTCGGGCAGTGCCTTTCTTTGCCCTCCCCCTGACGGGACAAGGGGACAATGGCTCGTTTCTGTAGACGCCCAGCGGTATGGTATGTCGTACATGCGCTCTTCATTCGGTCCTTCAGGTGCCGATAGTCTTAACCTTGGCAAGTGTTCTCCGGAGCGCTGAGCAGCTTCTGAAGACGGTCCTAATTTTAATTGTCTACAGACTCTTTTGATCTTATCTAACAAGCCGTTGTATGGCAGTGATACCGTTGCTGTCGCTTTTCCTTTAGCTGCCCTACGTTTCAACCACGCTCTTTGGACTTCCGGCCTAGGCAGCCCTTTGAGTACTCGTTCCTGCGAAACATCTCGGTAAAGTAGTTTATTTCTCTCTGTCTAGTTTCGCCATCATCACTGGTGGCATTTATACGATTTTGACCGACACTTGATGGAGGCTGGATAACTAACTGGTCGAAACCCGTGTGCGCACTAACACACAAGACAATAACGATGATCCAAATAGTTATACGATCCGCGATCGAGATGTGCGACCAAGCGTAGAGCATGGGCGGGTTGATGGCCATACACCCGCGCGCAACCGCTCTATTACGGCGACACAGTACGGATCGTGCGTATTTTCCCACAGACCGTTGACTCTGTCTTGCTTTTTATTTTGAAGCAGAAGGATAGAGCTTAAGGTCACTGTAGGTAACACGGCGGCTTTCAGAAGAAGACCGGCCCAGTTCACATGGCGGCTTTCGGGAGAAGACTGGCTCAGTTAACATGGGGGCTTTCGGAGAAAGACTGGCCCAGTTTACATGGTTGCTTCCGGAAGAAGACTGGCCCAGATAACATGGCGGCTTTCGGGAAAAGACTGGGCCAGTTAACATGGCGGCTTTCGAGAGAACTGGTCCAGTGAACATGGCGGTGTTCAAAAATAGACTGGCTGTCTACTTTTGAGTAGACAGCCAGTAGTAGAGAGAGAGAGGCAGACAGAGTGGAGAGAGAGAAAAAGGAACCGGGCGCGGACGGCAGAAGGCTGTTTGTTGGTGTGCGTTGGCATGGCTGTGAACATGATACCGACGCTACAGGCGGCGGCCCTCTCGGCCCGGCCGGCTGACTAAGCGTCAACGGATGGCATCAGAGATCGACGCCTACGCGTTGTTTGGATATTATGTTCTTGATTCTACCCTGGCGTCTTACGCTGTTGAGACATGAAAATGTTGGCGTCATACTGAACTTATTGACCCATTGGAAAAATCGAAATCTTGTTAATTTAACTCGACTGTCAATTAAAACCTTTCGCTTTTCGCCTGAATCAGTTCAGATCGTCTTTGATCAACATGCTTTCGATGAATGGTTCATTTCCTGATCACCGTCTGGTCGAGCACTAACTGGTTCACACGGGGACGAGCTGACTTCGCTATCGGCGACGTAGGTTTTGTGACGGGTGTTTCTCAGTGGACGTTGCAGCTTGTGAGCTGGGTTTCTACGCGTTCGCTAGATTAAGGCAACGAACATCTAGGTATCCAGAGGTTTCTGCCTTTCATTACTGCTAAGACGGCAAGCATGTTCGTGTGCTCTTCAGATGGCGGATAGCGTTGCAATAACGTTTGCTTCTCTCTCACAGACAACTGAGAGCGCTATGGCTATGGCATTCCGTTTGCGTCTCAAATATGACTGAACCTGCGGCCCCTGACACATGAATGTGGAAGGAGCGGGCCCCCGCGTCCGGAAATCCAGTGATGGATCGGGGCCAATCTCGTGAACACGACCTTCCGGCCGCCAGGGCTAGATCGCGACGACATTTTGCCAGCTGACCGGTCAGTGCCACGCGCTAAGTCTGGCGACAGCTTGAATTGTCGCCGACAGGGTCTTTGCGCTCACGATAGTCCGAAAATTCCGACATTTACGGGCCCCTCTTACAAACCCGACAATAAAGATATAGACCATTGGCCAATGTGTACATACTAATATACGCATTAGCCAGCCGCGTAAGGGAACACTGAGCTTCTACATTCTGGCAAAACCCTAGAAACTCACCAAGAACGCTCTTTAGGTGAGGTAGTGGAACGACGCTGGTCCCACACTTGCGGAGAAAAAAACAGGGAAATGCGGGAAAAACATAGGGAAGTGCAGATGATTTCGTCTTCCACGTCAGAGAAGGATAAACGAATGCAACTTTATCCCAACTTTTGCATCCTTTTTCAGATTTCGAATGTAACGGACGCTTTTCAGATTTTTGCTCCTAAGTTTTAGAGCAGCCTTGGATAATTTATACAAACAAACCTGTACCGATCATGAATAAGCACAATCCTGCCAAAGTAATGTGGGACCTCGCGCTGAAGACGCTGCGTTTTCCGGTCGCGCTTAACCTCGAGGCGAGCACGTCAAGTAAGTGGTGTCGGAAGACTACCTTCAGCACCCATCACCGAGACATAACGTATGAGCGTTCCACATGACGAAAACAAATCTTGTATTGAATCGATACAATGATAACATCGAGAGCCAGTTTTCCGTATTTCCCTGTCATCGGTGCCGCAAACACCTTGGTGTGCAGGGGTGCGTTGCGAAGCGATATCCAACCGTCATCACAGGCACCGCTCCACTGCGCGAACACCTCCAACTGCTACCATGATGAACGCCGCAAAAAACACAGACAAATGCGGTGCAATGGGTCACTCTCCTCAGCCGATCTAGCCTTCACAAGCATAACGCCGACCTGTGCGTTACATAACACGTGCTCTGCCGCACGCCGCTTTCAACGATACCTGCTGTCACAAGCCACGTGGACAGCTGCAGTTGTCACGCTCTCCCCAGTCGATCTGGCTTTCGCAAGCACCACGCCGAGGTGTGCTTTACATAACACGTGCTCCGTCGCACGCTTCTTTTAACGATGCCTGCTGTCACAAACCGCATGAGCAGCTGCAGTTGTAGCGCCGGGGCTAACAGGCTGCGTCACTCACGTGGGCACAATGAGGGAACATCACGGGTCGGTAAACCGCGGGCACCCATATAGAATAAGCCACGCGCTAGGAGGGGAAACTGTAGGTACTTGGAGAGAAAACTACGTGTATGGATAAGATCTTTGCGACGCGCCTGGTACATCACTTAAAAACGTCGTCACCTTATGGTGATTGTGAGTATGTCATAAAACAGGCTGCAGTGACGTGATTGGCGACGAAGTGTTCTGCTGCGAACAGAGTGGTAAAATTTACACTCATGTATTGCGCCACGGTTGAGGATAAGTTTGCAGAGTTGTATGATGTCTTACAGCAATCCTTGTGGTTGTCATGTTAATAAGAATAGCATCGGCTAACCCATTGCCAGTTTTTTTCATCGGCGGATTTCTGACGAGTCAGTCCACATGGCTATTTTGACGGTGTCTGTCGCGTCCAAAAACGTTTGGAACAATGGAGTAGAACACCATTTTTAACCGGACAGACACTATAAGACGCTAGCAAGCTAGACGTTTTTAGTAGCATGGCAACGGCCGTTAAGTGCTTGACCTGAATGAGCGAAATACGCTCCACCCAATCCTTTAAGACGTTTTGTGTGCGCATGTGACAAGCGACAACGATTTCCAACGCCAATCTCATCGATGACATTTTTTCCTTGGCCCTGTATCCCCCAGATCAGACCCCCATTGAATAGCTGTGTAAGTTCGTCTCACCCGCCATACAGTCGCATTGCACTGTATTGGACAATTAAAGCAAGGACCCAGACATTTCCATACAATATTTAAATATATCTACCTGAATATTAAAATACCGAAACCGAACCCAACGTTGAGCTCCACAGCGGTTACGTGTTGCATGGTTTCCTTTGGTACCGACACTTTGTGCCACGTCCGTATTGGGGTATTATAGTACGACATAGTACGACGCTAATGCCAGGTGCTCCTTTTTTTCCATACACCGGCAATGCAGGAACGCATTGTGCAGCATTTACGTACGAGGCCCCAGCACAATGCGGCTCTGCACAGCCGGAGTATAGGAAAGGACAACAACAGTAGTGTCAAAATTATACGGTCTTCTATTCAATTGAACCAGGAATTTATTCTTAAATTTCAATGTTCCTTGCTCTGCTTTTGAATCTTACGTGACCTTCACTAACACGGTGCTTACAGAACCTTCCGAATACGAAGACAAGAGAAATACACATTCTCACTTGAAGCCGGCTTCTGATTACCGTCAACATTCAGTGACAAAAAATATTGACAGTTTTTTTTAAAAAGTCCCTATTACGAATTACCATGACTGGACTTTCATATCAATGAATGTTCATGACATGACGCATTCGTAGGTCAACAACAATCACCATTCTTTGGAAAAGCCCGGCCGTAATTTTGTGTCGGCTTGGAAGACAACTAGAGAGCCTATACCAAGCCTATACCAAGAGAGCCTATACCAAGGGTGAAGGTAGAAAACTTACCTGGTTGGGGAAACCCATGGGTACCCATATGGACTGCCTAACGGGTTGAGGTTGGGTACAGTTTTTTGGGAAAATTACAGTTGTGGGATGGGTGAGACGTTACTTGTCGGATCGGTAGTTCAAGAAAATATACACCTTGGCACTGGTTTTCTCTTCTTTTGGACATAACTTCCTGGATTCACGCAACTTTTTCCATTACTGCAGTTTGGGGTAGTTTGGATGTGGATAGGTTTGGGTATAGCCTTTCCTGAATCTCCTCCATAATTTAAAACTAAGTGGTGGAGAAGCGCAAACGGGTGTGTAAGGGGCTGCTCCTATTCATCGCGAATGGGCAGCAAGTGGGTACGGACAATCCCATGAGTATGGGTGGATTGGTTACAGGAAACCAGAACCGCGACGGTCTCTAGGTGGAGAACACCAGTCGTTTGTTATGAAGAGCCGAAGAAGTGAATCTATGAATCCTGCAATCTCTGAATCTAGGGGGGGCAAGGTAAAGCGACTGAATCCAAATACAGAGCCTCCGTCACTTCTTCTATAGCTTAATCTAAAGCCTCAGGATCCAGTAAGCTGGTGGTAAAAGGTGGTTATGACTGATAGGAAGCTGATCGCGAACGGTATAACCTAGGGTGGCGGGTTGGGTCAAGAAGTTTATAGGGATTAGATTAAGACGATCCTAGTCATAAAGAGTTCTTGACATAACTCTTCCAGTGCCACACACGATGGACACAACCATGGACAGGGACCTAAAAGACTGGTTTTTAAGGACTCAGTTCGGGTTGGGCATCCACTTCCTGAAACAAGCGCTGCCACGGGCCGGGCCAGCAAGCAACAACAGAATCACTGCAAAACATGTCATGCGTCTTCGCTGCCAGCAAAAGAAGTCAATAACACCAAACACCACGCTAGGATATGCGTCACATCGCACGTCAAAGGCCGACGGACGGCACAATTGTGGCGCGCCGCCGCGAGCCTGGCGCGCTCAGGCTCGCGGCGGGCTGCCATCGCTGGTGCCGTTCAGCGGTGCGGCCTCGATGTGGACCGAGCCGCCGCTGAGACCGTCGTAGCGCACGAGCAGGGCGGGCCGACTGCGGCGGCGCCTCCACCACGGCCGGCGGGGCGATGTCGGCTGGCGCCCGGGACTCCTCCCAGCTGACCTCCTTGATGGGCTCGGCCACGCTGAGCTGCGGCAACAGGTGGGACACGTTTGGTAGGGCGCCTCTGTGTCTCTGTCTCGTCAGATAGCGGGGTGTACATACTCTTTCACATGAGGAGTTTTATGACTCGGTTGAGCGAGAGAAGGTGGGGTTATGTACGTCCGTGAAATAAGCAATTTATTTAGTTATGTGTTCAGATTTCGATGAAAACACGCCAGATAATTAAAAACGGCACGAGGGCACTGTATATGACATTCAATATTCAACAGCACGTGGCCTCCAGGGTCAAATTTAGCGTAAAATGACCAGGCACTCAATGCCGCCCAAAAATTATCAGCCTATTTCAGATCTTTTAAGTACCAGAATTGTCTTCGGCTAATTCGCCTCCGAAAGGTTTGACATCAGAATCATCTTCAGCGACAAAGAGCGGCTTAAAAAAGCTCTCACCTCCCCGGAAAACACTTAAGGGTAAATTTAGGGGCAAGTGATGGCCAACTCCATATCACTAAAAAAGTCACCGGCTGATTCCAGATTTCTGAGCACCGGAACCGTCTTAAGCGCAAAACCTAGCAAAAAAAAAAACAAAACAAAACCAGAGACCCTAAAAACGTCCTGTCCTCTCGAGATCACCCCTTATTGTAAAATTTCAGACCGAAATGCAATCTACATATCACCACAAAGTTTTGTGCTGGTTTCAGATTTGTATGCATCAGAATATTCATCAACGCATAAACCGACGTCCGTCAAAATTCCCGACCTTTCAGTGTCACCATTCAAGGTCAAGGGACAGCGAACTCCATCTCAACCAAATTTGTCGGCCGATAGGCATCATAATCGTCTTGAGCCCTAACATCAAGGTCAAAATCAAGGTCGAGTGCCGAGGACGTCCATATTACCCGAAAGTTATCGGAAAATTTCGGATTTTTAAGCATAAGAATTTTAACTTATGCATGGTATAGCATCCGTCGAATAGTCTTGACCTTTCAATGACACTTTTCTCTTCAAGATCAGATTCATAGCCAACTTAATAAATCATTTTCACCCAAAATCTATATCACCCAAAAGAAAGCGGCTATTTTCGGATTTTTAAGGACTATAATCGTGCTCAGCGCCTAAAACAGCGTCCGAAAGAAGTCATCGCCCCTCAAGACCATCCTTTAAAGGTCAAATGCAAGGTCATAGAAGGGAAATTTAGCATCGCACAAAGACTACTGAACGATTTCAGCGAATGAGCTAGCTTGTCTCGAATGGGGCTCTCCACATCACGCAAGAGTTACCGGTTGACTTGGGATTTTAAGCATCATAATATTCATCCGCATACAAACCAGCGTCCTTCGGTATTTCTCATGTCTCGAGGTCACTCTTCATGGTTAAATACCAGGGAACTATATGTCATAAAAAATCATCAGCTGATAAACGTCAGATTGATCTTCAGAGCGTAAACCAGAATCTGTCAACAAATACTGACCTTTCCAGGTCGCTCTTGAATATCAGATGACAGGGAAGACCATATCACCCATAATTTACGGCTGATTTCGGATTTTTAAGCATCAGAATCTTTTTCAGCGTAGACAGAAGCACCTTTCAAAAACCTCTGACCAAAAACCTGACCTCTGAAGATAACCTTTCGAGGTGATACCCAATGTCAAATGACAGAGATCTTCACATCAACCAAAGTTACAAATACCTGGACTGCAAAATGCATCATTCTTACAACACATTTTTATGCAGGTTTAATCCGAACCGAGGAAATAATTAAAAGGATTTAATTGGAAAATAGATAAGACTGGGACCAGAGCTCACGCTAAGCAGTGCTTGTTGCGTGAGCCCTGACCCATGTCATCCGATCGCGAAATTCCACGTCAGTGGTAGAACGGGCATTACATATATCCAACAGCTTAAAAAACTTGTTGTCCTAGTTATTCAACGAGGAATCAGGCCATTGGTACTACCGACGGCTATAACACTGCTTTTTATTCTTTTAAAATCCGCAGAATGCTTAAATAAAACGAATCATAGGTAATAACATAAAGACAGGTCTTCGCATCATTCAGAGATGATTCGTTATAAATAGAAAATCGATGTGGGGGGGGGGGACAGATTGTAGGTCTCTTGGGGTAGCTGTGCTTTAAAAAAAACACGGCAGGTATGACCTCAACGCACTAAGCGGCTCAGGGATAGTTTGACACGTGGCTTGGTCAAGTGTATTGTCGAAGGCAACAAGAGAACAGTACGGGCACAATGTATAACGATATGTGTGGGACGTGCAGTAGAAAAATATCACATTTTATCTACGTGCACCTCTATGATGTCGCGTTGATATTAGTCAAGGATTTTGGCAATCGGAAGTTATTGGAGAGCTCGGGCTGTCTTTAACTGAAGTGGGGATAGGCTGCTTGTATTTTCGTTTCTCCTGTCTTTCGTAGTAGGTAACCTATGGAAGTGATTCAGTAGCATAGAGAGATCCCATTGATGTCAGTCGGACCGCGTAGCACTATGCAAGGTTCACTGGTGTCGATAACAGTATACCAAAAAACAACATACTGAAATGGTTGCGAACCTGTACAGGCGTTTTCGGCATCGCTGGGTGAATGTTGATAAAGAATATGAATAATAAAATTCTACCTGTTGCCACGAACCAGATCGGTAATCATAAAGCTGTGCATGACGCTTTCACAATGCGTATCAGGCATATTACTAGCAAGCAGTCACTGTCCACGCCGCCACCTTCATGGCACCGAGGTGATAAACTGGCAAGTACCTATTAAATAGCATTCATTGTCAAACGCCTCTTTTGTTGGATATTCCACTCAGTGACATGCTTACATCAATAATCTGGGTTGCTTTGAAATTACCCATGCTTGAATCCAGCATCTTTGTAGAACTAAAGCTTCTATCGTAGGTTTGTTGCCAGGGAGAATGATAAAACCAGTAAGCACCTCGTGCTTTTAAACAAGCCTTCAATCCGTTAGATCTGCTCAACCTGACAACCTCTCAATAACCCAGTCCGGTCCTAATCTGTGTGCCGCCGCCCAAGTTTTCTCGCCCGGCCTAATCCGCCGGATGCATCCGTCCACCACCGCCGATTGATCCAATCCGCGAAGAGCTTTAGCCCGGCCATGGCTTTGTTGTCCTAGAGGATGTGTTCGGCGGGCGGGCGCGGCGCCACTCATGGGCTCTTTCAGCCTGTGTGAGCGGGCGCGCCATCTTGCATGAATATGCCGACCGACATGAAGGCCTGCTACTGCGTAATGATGTCGATCATGCGTTGGCGTGGTCGGTCAGATGGGCGCTGACCCTTGGAATGATGTCGATCATCTAGTGGCGTGGTCGGTCAGATGGGGGATGACCCTTGGCCCTCTTAAATGTAAAACATTCACGGTGACCCTCAGGCGTGCTTCCCGTCCAAGCCAAGTATTTTATCGATAGAACTGAGCTTGAACGTATGTGCAAAATTGTGGACCTTGGCATAACGCTGGATACAAAATTAACCTTCGCTCCTTATGTTTCTTACCCAAGTCAGTACCGGCAGGTCAAAATTCAACCGAAGCACAGTGATGGCTGCGTATTTTGCAAACGTGCGATTTATTGTAACGTGGTCTGGACGGAGGCAGCCAATTCTCACATAGTGCAGGTCGATCGGGTGCAGCCCAAGTGTCTTATTCGGTTACTTATTCACACATTCTCCAGGCAAACAACTTCTCTTATGACAGCCGTCAACTGAATTGCAAAATCGCATCCATAGCAGCACGAAGAGTGCAGCACGATTTGCTCTTTCTGAGAAACATCTTCCAAGGTAAACTGAGCTCTCAAATCTTGCTTAGCTGTTTCCCTTGCTTGTACCGCCTCGATCGGCCCGCACCCGAACTCTGCTCGTTGTACCCCCGCGCCTGTGTGCGGACAGTACATAGCGGTCTTTTTTGGAGACTGCCAAACGTTGGGAACACTAGTGCGGATAAATGTCATGATAATTTTGGCATTTTTAGATTTTAAACGATCACGACGCTTTACGCTTTAAACGATGCTTTAACTCTGTAGCATCTTCACTTAGCTTTGGGATATGCCATCCTACATTTATGTTCATACGACTGTGTACTGTGCGTATTGTATTGTATTGTATTTGTATATCTATATTGTACTGTACGTATTGCATTGTGTGTATTGTATCTTAATTTAAACGACTTCGCCTGTTAGTGGAATGCTGCTCTGTTGGCGATAAAAGAAAATAACAAGGTAATTAAACAAATGACCATGTGACCCATGCTTTTCTTGTTTGCGGTGGCCCATGCTCAATGTCCGTTTCGTAACGTGACAACATTTTACGTGACTCGACATGAAGTGACAGTGTTTGGCGTGATTAGACGTAGAGTGACAGCGGTTGACGTGACTTGATGTGAAGTGATAGAGTTTGACGTGACTTGAAGTGAAGTGACAGCGTTTGACGTGATTTGAGGTGAAGTGACAGCCTTTAAAGCGACTTGACGTGAAGTGACGTGAACTCGTTTTTCCAAACGTTTCTATTAAAGTCGTTCCGACTGCAATTCTTTTTTTCTTTTTTCATGGTACTTTCGGCAAAATGCTGCCTTTTTGGCCATTTTGTATGCGTGAGGTTGATTAGGAGTTTCCGGTGACGCTAAGCAGTCGTGTCAAGCATCGTGTACCCCTTGCGCGAACTTTTACCAACAATCTCAACGCGTTGGATTTCGCTTCAGTGCAGTTTAGGCACACACTATTTTCACTATCCGGCTGATCCGCGAGGATCGGCCCGAGCACTACTCGGCATTGAAAACTCTTCCCTGCGAAAACCTCCTCCTGTGTTCACTGCACGGCATGATAGTCTGAGTGTCTTGGCGACATCTTGCCTGACACCAGCCTGAATCATTATCATGCAAGCGTATCTGCCTACGATTACTAGCTTCACGGCACCTTTCGGGAGCGGGCTTCGCGACCAGCTTCACGGCTGCTCAACACTCTGCCCATGCATTGGTATAATTTCCAAGTTTTTTGTTGCAAGAAACTAACATAAAATTACACATTAGAAGTGGGTTAATATATATATATATATATATATGTATATATATATGTATATATATGTATATATATATATATATATATGTATATATATATATATGTATATATATATATGTATATATATATATATATATAAATACATAGTGTTATATTAAATCACGACACGCTCCATAAATGACAACGGCTGCGTCATCAGACAAAAACACTCGTACAACAAAGCAGATCTCCGTCCCGATCAACGCCCGTCCGCCATCAACGGATTAATCGGATCCGTGAAGCGTTCTATCCTCCTGTCATGCCTGTTTGTCCCAGAGGAAATGTCCGGAGGGTGTGTGAGGCGTCACCCCTGGCTAAAAAGCCTAATCGCTCAATCGCACGGCTAAATTGCTTTTCAGTCATTTCCAGGAAGTGAACGTTAATGCATCTTGATTTAGCACGAGACAGGCGGGAAACTAATCTGCTACAGTTCTCTAAATCCATAATAGTTCGTCCTCTCTGGAATTGGTCCTCAGCTCTGCGAATGCTCTACAACACGTGTAAGCAATGGTAAAATTCGCAAGTTTATTGTAAGAAAGCGATGGTTCTGGGCGTACAGTTGCAACCGTTAACTGTGAGTGCCGACCGTGGGAGCATGCGTCATGGTCGACGATAATGCCTATTTTTTTAGCTTTCCGCTTCCAGTAAACCAACATTTCATTCTCGTCAATCGAATTCGCAATGGACAAGAGAAGCCTTCATGCGGTCGCAATTCCATACTCCAACTCCTTCGGCTACCATTTCGAGTTTACTCTGGGCCCAGTTAAGCACCAGCTGAAGGGAAACCTTGGCAGTGGACAAAGGCTGCTCTGACACATTCCATCGACCAGAGGTATCCCATCCCGTCCCAATCCTTTCCTGCCGCCCAATAGGCGATTACGAGTCCGAAGAACCGAGCCGAGCCGAGCCGGAAGCGGAGCGGCGCAGTCGCGGCTCGCCTTGCCCCCGAGAAAAGACGAGCCGCACACATCGCCGCCTGCCGAGCACACATCGCCCCTCCCTGGCGCGCCGGGGCCGACATTGAGTGACGACTCGGCAAACCGCGGAGGACGGCGCCAGGACCCGGCTGGAAACGCCCCGGGCCACCCGATGCGCCCTGCCGCGGTGACCTACCTCTGCCGCACGCTCAGAGACGCGCTCCCCGCAAGGTTCGCGGAGGACTGTGGGAATGTGTAGCTGAAGCGCAGGAGCAGGCAGCTGAATATTGCTCAGCTGCCGATATGCATCGTATTTCCAGAGTTGTCGAGAGTTGTTCTTTGCATTCGTCTTTGCGGCAAACTGTCACGCGTTCCATCCATTAGGCGCTCCTGTACCGACGTCCCTAACATCGTTGTCACAAATCAAATGTGTAACAGGTGGGATCCAGGGCATCGTCTCATATTATTTACAATTAGCATGTGCTTTCTGCAAGGAGTACAACCAAGTTTCACCTCGCGTGGGTGGTCTCACTCAAGCTCCTAACTGAATGATTGTCGCTCATGTATTCGACCGTTGCGAGCAATCTTTAAACGGCGGGGCGCTCTCGAGAGTAAAAAGCGCGATTCACGCAACAGGTTGGTTTGTCAACGCAAAGTAGCACAGAATCGAAGACTGATAAGACGAGAACCGGGGACCCCACGGGTTTTCATCATTTATAGTTAATTGTTCAGCTCCTAATGTGATGAATGTTCACGCCTTGACCGGTGAAAGATGGCGAGTTCCAGGCCGAGAGTTTGTTACAGCCAAACGCGTGGGCGGCAGCTGTTAAATTGCCTTTGCAAAGACGCTAATGGCGGAGGTGGCTGAAGTCCGATCGGACCCTGCAGCAGGAGCCGCTATTTGTGAATGAGGGATGCTGTAGTCGAGAGCCTCAACTATTGAAGAACATCAGCATGGAAGTAGCAACGCCGATAAAGCGTAGCGAGGCCAAAAAGTACGCGCAAAAATTGCGACAATACTTAACACGACAGTCGAGTTAGACAGGTCTTCAAACGTAGTGCATGTTTGAAATGGAGTATTTCATGTGTGACGTATATTTCAAACCGTCTCCAACAAACCGTACCCGAGCTGTACGTAGACAGCGGAAGACGTTTTGTTTCGATTGACACGACACTGCGCGTGCTTTTCCGAAGAGCGCGGCAACATCTGTACTCTGTTGAACCGCACAGTAGGACCCGACGTTTCCAGATCCATACAGCGCCAGGCCTGCTCACTGGAGCCACGCGATGTCAGGCATCCGCGACAGAGCCACACAACACCATGCTTACCCCTCAGGCACACAACACTATCGGTACTCTTCACGGCCACACAACAGACGTCCTCTCCCAAACAACACAGCACTGGGTATATATAATATGTACACCCGATGCCCCCAATAAATAAATAAATATATATATACATATATATATACATGTATATATATATATATATATTCATTTATACATGTACGCCTAATGGCCAGTATATATATATATATATATATATATATATATATATATATATATATATATATATATAAAGCATTCCCTTCTGGACCACTCGTTAGCAGTCATGCCCTCCTGAACCACCCAGTGTTAGGTGCATACCAGGCAGAGATTCTGAATTTGATCACGGAAACATGTACCATTTTTTCAGCTTTCCCACTCTGAAATAACTTTCCATTGAGCTTCTCACCAGCTGGTATCTTGGTAGGTAAACAGGCCAGCTCCATCAACCTCCAACTATGATAAACAGGATTGGCACATGGTACCCAATCCCACATGAGCTGAGGGCGGATTCTTGGCATAATTCTACCCGCACATGGAGAACTATGAGTGTTCAAATAACGCAATTTTCTGTCTACCTCAGAAGAGGAGCTTCGGTCCGATCGTTCAGCATATAAAGGCGTACATACTATGTCTCCAACACAGCCTACATTATAACAAGCAGCACGCTCTTTCCCTCCCTCTCTCTCTCCCCTCTCTCGTCCTCTCTCTCTATCTCTATCTTTCTTTCTTTCTCCCCCCCTCTCTCTCTCGTTCTTTCTCACGCACACAGCTTACGTTCGTTGTTTGAAAAGCTTCCCTAGTACTATCTCGGGTCAAATCAGGTCAAGTTGGGTCACTTTAAGTCCGATCACTTCGCGTCAGGTTGCGCTACCCTGTCCAGGTCAGGTCGCGATGGATCAAACTAGGTCAGGCCAGCTGACGCCGGGGCCAGATCGGGTCAGATCGGATATGGTCAGGTCAGGCAGGGCCGGGTAGGGTCGGGTCGAGTCAAATCAGGTGAGGTCAGGTCAGGGCGCCTCACCTGACGCGGTGAGCTCCTGTCGGTGACAGACCTGACGAGCGGGGACGTGTTGCGACTCTGTCCGGTCTCCGACGGCCTATCCATCAGAGTAGTGCTCTGCACAGAGCTCCTGCCCATACTTCTAGCGGCAAACAGACACGGTCAGCGCCACGCCGCCCACCTAGCACGGCTTCCGAATGCTGACTTTTTGAGACAGGGCTGGCGAGATTATCACGGAGAACACCATTTAACGCACTGGGCACATCAATTCGCCGCTAGACACTTCATATGCGGCAATATGCGGCTATGCCATAGTGAGCACCTGTGGAACAGCGTCCCCAAGCACATTTGGATGTGCACCGTTTAATGTCCTGCTGATGTAGGCGAGCGCTGGTGTAAACTTAATGACGCGTCGCGTACCACTAAATTTCATCGAAAGCTCGAGGCCAGAACGTCTCACCACACCAGGAATTGGTAAAGGTGCTCCTCCAGCCATTCATCACAATAAAACAGTTTGTGTGGCCTCCGGAAGCGGTGAGGTGCGAGCCTCTGGGACCGCTGCGAATCTAATACGGTCGTACATCACAGACCGAGCTGGAATGGCGGCGTCCTCTGGGAACTCGGCTCGGGCGCGACCGGCCAGCTTCGCCGGAAGCGGCAGGATCGGACCGCTTTGCGGGACTGATCAATAGGTCCACGAGCAGGGAGCGCTTTACGGGGAGCGCCGCAGGAGCCGGGCCCTAGGCAGCGGCGTGACCGAAGGTGCGCATCACGCCGGAGCGGTGACCGCGACCTTTCCGGGTTACCTGTAGCTCTTGCCGTGGTTGGAGCGGCTGCGGCCGGAGTTGGTGGACACGCCCATGTTGGCGTAGCGCCACGTCGCCCAGTGCTTCTTCAGCTCCAGCTTGACCTCGGAACTCATGAAGCAGTACAGGATGGCCACGAAGCAGCCCTGAAGCGGAATCCATGGCGTAGCTGCTGAACACTCGTGTCTGGCGCTGGGCGCTGCTCCTGAGGCGGAATCTGTGCAATATTTAATGTATCCGTCGCCGTCACCAAACAGGCGCCGATCGGACGAGATCGATTCAACGCCGTTCAAACGCGCAAGAGCCGGTGTTGCAGGTCAAAGGACGCCCCATGATAGATAGAACAAAAAGTTGGCCAAAAAGGTGACGGTCTATTCATGTCTCACTTTCTGCCTGTGTGGGGTTACAAGGTGGTGACGGAACTGCGCAAATGCATATGAAGGCTGTGAAATGCGCACGAACCACTTGACGAGGCCATTTTCCAAACGCGCCGGTTGGCTGTCAGAATCTCTCCAAAATTCTTATGACTACGGGCACAATAATCCCAAATGAACATGGGGCGTCCTGTAACCTGCAACACTGACTTTTGAAGTTACCCAGTTAACTTGCTTACTTACTTCTCATTACTTGTTAATTTGCCTGACAGCGCAAACGACGACCTTCATTTGATAATGTTCGCAGCCGCCAGAACCCCCAGTTTGCGGCAATGGCTTTAAGTTCCCGGCGGAACCAAAAAGTTGAAAGTTGCTGCTAAGTTTTTCACATCATCCATCTTGGCCGAAGCATGGTGCATTCATTTGGGAAATCTCCTCTCGGGATCATTTTGCCGGATTTAACTTTGGATCCGAAGAGCACCTGGACCTCAATGTGGAAAGTTAATTCTTCACGCGTACTTAGCTTGGAAAGTGGAAGTTCGGAGCTAATGGGCGAAGTTCTGGGCAAAAATATAGAATATGGAGCGTAGGAACTGATTCAGCACTGCTATTAACATTGGTCATACCTCTGTCTACGGTTCGGCTGGCATTAAATCTAAAAAATATCATTGCCATAATCATAAAACGCAGAAGACTAAGCATTCAGTAATGCACACGAATATCTGGACACACCAGGCAAAGGTGGGAAGTAATCGCGACGCGTGCCTTGCCTTTTAGAAGTGTGCGCTGTTCAGGTCATGATGGGAGACAATAACCATTACAGCATATTTTCACAGTTTCGTTCCGGTCATTAGTGATATCCAGTATGTTCCACCACAGGGGCTGCATTTTCACAAAAAAGTAGGGATGGGCTGATCAGGAAAACTGGCTGAACTATCCAAAAAAGACTCCATAAAACAGATTTCTGGTGTCAAGAAGACCGTAAAAACCGGTTTTTTTGTTCATTCTCACCATGCTTCAGCGTTTCCTCCTGATTCATACCGCAGCTGCGGGACCTGCAAGATGTGCGGACGCGAGGCGACAGGACGCCAAGTTGATGTCGGTGGCCGGCCCCGCGCTTGCACGCCCCGTCCGGCCTGTTCCAGTCCCATCAGGTAAATGTGAGCCTTCGATGACACCAATTTCTTGAAAATGTCAAAATGTCGGGAAACATTCAAGCAAAAGTTTACATCACCATATGGATCCAGTGCCCGACGCTGGAACACATGCGGGATGTTTCAATACAAGACAGGAGCTGTGAATTTGAAATACCGATTTCCGCTGACCAGAGATTGCCAATACGGCGTGGAACACGGGACGAGATATCCCGCGAGGACACGGCAGACTTAAGCCGAAGGGAAAGCCAGACATCCCCATGCCTCAGATCCAGCTAAGCCAAGGCTTTGTCGACCATACGTCGCATCATCGTCGTTTCTGAAGGCCAAAGCTTACGCCCGGTGAGGTTATTTTGTTGACATTGGCTATAGCTGGAAACAGCCTTCTTTCGGTAGCTATGTCCTACGAGTGTGAAAATGGTACTGATGCAATTATTGAAGCCATCGGAGATGACAAGAATTTTCGGCCAGATTTGTCCAGCGATTATGAAACCTGGTTTAGAATTCCAATGATGCGCATTTAGATCAAAACGCGACCGCGGGCTACCAACAGATGGTGCAAAGAGGGCATGCTGTAAACTGATTCTAGATGCGTGGCGTTCACGAAAATGCAGAAAATTTCCCTGACACCAGTACGCTAGGTTTCGACATACACTGCTATTAGTTTTCGTTAATCTTGTCCCACATAATCTCCGTAAGTACCGTACATGTTTTTGACATTCGAACTCTTTTTCCAGGCTAAGCCAGCCTGCAAATATTGGTCATGGTTTGGAAGAGGTGTGACAGGAGCGGGACAACAAAAATAGTTTGCGATATGCGGCAGCTTTTAGTTGCATGCAAGCCGGTTTAGGCTATATGGGTTGTATAAGTTTGGAAAATTTCTTACCACGAACATCACAGTTCAAGGACATTACACGAACATTTCAAGCATTCCAGTTACTCAGGCTCTCCCGTCCCGTCACCTAATACGCGGTACTGTGCTAAAACTGCCCGGAACACCGGAGGTTAAACTGAAAAGTTTCGATGAAACGTACTCCAAGCTCCCCACGGCGTGGGCTGGCGCGCTGGTGCGAGCAGGTGGTCAGCAGCTGGCCCGCGCGGCCGACGCTTCCCGAACTGAACACCTGGCCGCGTTGACGCAGCACGTGCCGTCGACTTTTCGGGACTGGACGACCTCCACAAGTACAAGGACCAGCCTATGTCACGGTCACGCGACCGACGCACGCACAGTGCGTCTACGGTGACGGTCGCAGCAGGACCCCAGCGGCGCGGACAAACGGGGCGGATATGTGCGAAGTTCGACCAAGCACACACAGCGTTTGACTGCCCGTCTGTAGGGGCCAGCGTCGGCGGTCGCCCCGAGGCAGTGCCACACCATAGACCGTGCCGGGTCTGCCCGGCTGACGGACAAGTGGCGCGCGCTGCCTGTTTAAAAGGCCGCACGAGGCGACACCGCGGCTCTAAGAGGGACGTCATCCAATGTTTCAAGGAGTCCCGCGGATGTTCTCGCCTCAGTTGGCCGGTGTTGCCAGACCCAGCAGAGGATAGCCCTACACACGTCGGCACCATGTGCGCAGCCACCAGCACCAGCGCCATGCTGCAAATAATGCCGCTGACCGTCCGTGGCCCTTGAGGACCCGCGGGCGGCAGATGGTCCGCCACAGCGTGCCACCTGCGCCGTGCTGGACCTCGGCAGAGAGGGGTCCGCGGTCACCGAGGAGCTGACGTCGGACCTGGGGCTACAGGGCCCGCACCGGGCCCCTGCGTCTGGGCACCATTGCTCGGTCGCTCAGGGTACGTCTCCAAATGCGCCAAGTGCATATGCAACCACAGAAGCGGAACGAAATCTCTCCCATCAGTGGCGTCCGCACAACGTCAGGCATCAAACGTGTCTGGGCCAGCGAAAAGTAGACGACGAAGGAGCGGAAGTGACCTCAAGCTGTTGACCTCAACTTGGCAGAGGTCACGTCAAAGGCAGTTGGACTTGCCCATCGCAAACGATGCAATCCATCCCCATTGCACCTCCACACGCGCGACAGTGACCCTCCGGCGCTCCCTGGGCCGTGATAACTCGCCGCGGTCGGTCGGTGGCACGAAAGCCTCCCGGGCACTTCATGAGGCCACAGTACGTAAACTGCCCCGAGTGACCGAGGACTCGGAAGCCACAGCGGACCGACGAGCGCGCCGGCACTGGCGGCGCTGCGGCGCGTTACGGCGGTGCGCCGCTCGACGACGGTCCTCCGCCGCGGACGGGCGGCGCTGCGGCGCGTTACGGCGGTGCGCCGCTCGACGACAGTCCTCCGCCGGGACTGGCGGCGCTGCGGCGCATTACGACGGTGCGCCGCTCGACGACGGTCCTCCGCCGGGACTGGCGGCGCTGCGGCGCGTTACGGCGGTGCGCCGCTCGACGACAGTCCTCCGCCGGGACTGGCGGCGCTGCGGCGCATTACGACGGTGCGCCGCTCGACGACAGTCCTCCGCCGGGACTGGCGGCGCTGCGGCGCGTTACGGCGGTGCGCCGCTCGACGACGGTCCTCCGCCGGGACTGGCGGCGCTGCGGCGCGTTACGGCGGTGCGCCGCTCGACGACAGTCCTCCGCCGGGACCGAACCTGACTGAGTCCCGTCGGAGTCCTGACGCCGCTCCCTCAGCCTGCTCTACGACCCCTGTGGTGAGGTGACGCCCGAGAGAAGCCGCCCAACATCATCAAATGCAGGCGTTGGTCCTTTGAACGACTCCATCTCTCTGCTCGACCGATAACGCCCCGCGGCAGTGCGCCGAAGACCCGCTGAGCTTGTCCGGCAGCAGCCTCAGCCGTGCACTCGCGAGTCTACGTAGACGATGATCTGAACTTGCTGGAAAACGTCAACGAAGCCGCCACATTGCAGGCCATCTAGCGGTGCGGGTGCGAGTGGCACGCGACAATCGCAGGCCATAAACTGACGGCCGTCTTGCGGCTGTCGATCAGCGTTCTTCCCAGACTGGGTCACTTCAAGGTCGACCGGTGCCGCCGAACCGACGGAACTCCCGACGGACAAACAGCTGCCGGAATTCGGCGACGCATCTGAGCTGGCGGCCGGCGCGGCCGCCTACTTCCGGCTGGAGTACGAGGGTGGGGAGCTCAACACGTCGGTCGTCATGGCCGAAAAACGGACCGCTGCCGTCCGGTAGATTAGCGCCCTACGCCTGGAACTGACCGCTGCCGTCCGGTAGATTAGCGCCCTACGCCTGGAACTGCAAGTTTCTGTCGCGTCGCGGAGCTCGTCCGGCGCGAGCATGACATCCGCATAGACACCTGAACGGCATGTGACGAACAGCCCCGAACTGGGTCGGCCCTGTCCTGCGCCATGGAGGCGGCCGTGGCGACACCAGCCGCTCTGTCGACCGAGCGACTGGCAGCGGCCATCAACGGGCCCCGGCTCGCGTGTGCGCATGGCTACCGGCCGGGCGCGGCCACCCGCTGCAGGCCCTGCTCCAGAGTCTGCCCCAGTGCCCACGGAGCAGGCGCTGCTCGTGCCACTCGAGCTTTGGG